GCAGGCGTATTTTTATTTTTTTCCAAAAGTGAAGAAAATAGAAAGAAATCTAAATGCCTCTACCGCCCCCCGCCCCTTCTTTCCCCCCCCCCCCCCTCCCCATTTTTTTTTTTTGCAAGATTGCCCTTTGTTTCTTTTTAAGTGTTAATTAAACAAGAGATAACCAACTTCATTCACGAAACTTCCCTACATATCATTAACACTCAACATGCATCTAAACACATGAGCGATCTTTTTGGTGCTAATTGGCATACTTCAATATATATATATCATGAATTTCTTTGTAGATTTTCCATCTTTGTCGATCCGGTGGTTCAATGGGTGGTTCAACCGGTTGACTCACAAACCGTAACCTGAACCAGTTTTTTGATAGGTCCGCATTTGGAAAAATTGCTTGACACGATTACAAAACCCGATTATGATACATGAGCATAAATTTCCAGCTCTAATAGCCATGATATTGTGATGATGTGGATGTGTGAGTGGCACTAATGATTTGGTAGTTCATTGATGCTGACATCATATTCTGGAGCATGGAGCAAGGCCAAATAGTGGCACGAAGCAAAAGAAGACTAGTAACACATGACTAGGTGAAGTCCGTGGTTTCTAGTGTTCAACTCGGAGAACAACTACTTGTCTGATGAAGGAAAAGATTGGGACGAGTTGTCTCGTCCCGACACATGAGGTTTTTGTCCATGGTGGAGTTGAGTCGCAGTTGGCGTTGACTCAACAACGTGATTCTAGGGTTCAAAGTCTTTCGGAGTGGATCGTGGCGGAGACTATCTAAGTGGTTGGTGGTGAGTTTCGATTAAAGGGTTATGTTAGCGAGAGACAAATAAACTAAAGGCCTTCTGTAAATCAGTGGAATGCAATATACAAGTAATTGCGATCATTTATAGAGAACCTAAACTAATATAGAGTAGATATATGATATCATGATTCTAGACATAATCTGACCATATATAACATACACGCGATATTTTGGAACGATTTGGTAATTTGTGAATGATGTGCATTACAAATATATCTAACAAGTTGTAACATTCTTTCATAAATTAATGCTTTTAATCCGATATTACTGTTTAAAGGTCATAGTCCAAAGGACATAAAATAGATATTAGGTGTTAATTTGAAGGGAGGTTTTCGGCTAGTAATTTTGTCAGTTATACGGATGTCTCTTTACTTTAACTTTCGGCTTTTTCTCTTTTTCGACTTTTTAGAGTTTGAAATCAGGTCTTGATTTAACGTCAAACATCTCAAATTTTTAAAACTAGGATAGGGAAATTCAAAGATGGCGTTTTAATTTGGTTTATAGCAAGAAAAATTGATTGTAAATATCTTTGGTTGTTTTTTTTTTTGGTAAGGTATCTTTGGTTGTTGTGCATGTGAAAATGAGAAAACGCGGTCTTCGTCTTCTGCAGTATTGCTAGGTACTTGGATTTGATGGTTGAATGTGGAAACAAAGAAATGTCGAATAAACAATGGCACGCGATTACGAAATTATCACGGAAATTCTTGTCCATTTCTCACATTTGAAAGATACGCCAAAAAGTAGGAGGCGATTTACGAGCAGATGCTCATTCTAGAAATGACAGTCAGATGCCAAGCGATTCTTGTCCATCAAATGTGCGAGTATTCTTGAGACCAGTTGGAAAGTGAGTTTCCTTCGGAGAAGGTGACCACTTGCAAAGTCCCCAATGCTGGTCACCTTTACACCCACCTTTTCTTAAGATATAATGGTTTGTTCTCACTCGTTCAACTTCAAAAACAGTGCTGAACTCTAACTGTAAGGAGTAAAATTCTTGGAAATTACGGTGCAAAGGAAAAGTGAACTTTGAGGGAATGCAGCTGCCACGAAAGTGAATTAAACGAACTTACGGTGAAATTGTATCTTTTGGTCTCTGTCGCTTCCTTTCGCATTCCTCGACAGTTCTTCTTTTTCTCCCTTTTCTTTTGCCGGCCACTCCCCTTTTTTTCTCTTCTTTTTATCAAAGTTTTCTCTCTTTTGCTGACCATAGCCCTCTCTCTCTCTCTCTCTCTCTCTCTGTATTTCTCTTCCTTGGCCGTGAAGGAAAAGCTCCACCCTTTTCTTTTTCGAGCTCTCTTTGGCAATGATTACATGCTGAAAAATCCCCCGCCCCACTTGGCCGAGAACCCTCTGCTTTTTCATGCCCAGATTTTCTCGTTTCCTTTTGGCCGTGAATTCCGGTCCCTGAATGCCAAGATTCCTCCCTTCGTCATGCTGGAAACTGCACGCCTCTTTCCTTCTTCGATTCTCCTTCGCCTTTTCTTCCAATTTCGACGCGCGCAGCTGAACATGACCTTCCTCCCATCTTATGTGTTCAGACTGTCCTGAATGGCAGCGCCTCCGTTCCCTTCATTAGGCCGAGTTGTGATTAGCTTAGGGCCGGGCTCGCGCAAGGCTTGGTCTGGGAACCTCGAGTGAGTTCGGGACTCGTTTCGCATATCGGGCCATCTATCTGGCCAATCCTAAAGAAACCCATAGCCGGATCCATGCTTTGTTCGGTGCTAATGCTCTGTGCCCAATGCGAAGATATACAGTAACAACTGCAAATGCAAGAGTATGCAAGATCGATATTTTTGTGTAGGATCAACCCCTATCGAATTCGATCTTAGTTTTCTTATTAAATGAAGGAGAAGTCTTCGGATTAAAATTTAGGCGTCAAATGGCAGAAACTAATTTAGTAGTAGCATAGCATATCCAATGCTCACACCACCAGATGCAATATGTCCATCCACGACATAAAAATCTTACATACTCTCGCCAATAAGATTACAGACATAAGTTGATGTATATAGAGTCTAGAGAAATTACTATGAACATTGAGATTTACTAACAATAGATAGGCAGAAACGTTACTTTTTCATATTCCATAATTATTTATCGCATAGAAAAATTACTAATTACTAATAGGTAGATACTTTTTCGGTAATAAAGGAGTTACTAATCATACTAATTTTGTATAATTACTTTATTGCTTTTTTATACCAAAAAATAACTTGGATGAAAGCATAGTGGTGTATGGACCAATATACTGTTCCTCTAGATAACTGTCCAAAGCTTCACCCTCGGAACTGAAAATGTGAGCTGCAAAATTATGTATAACCATCGTTTCTCACATATTAGAAGTGTGAGGAATCAGATCAACATTAGCAGCTAAAGCTCGGAGAAAGTAAAGAACAACCAATTGTCCTTAACAAGCAGAAGACGAGAAAGTGACATTACACGGATGTCGTCCCTCTAATAACTAAAATGAAGATGATATTGAACATTTTTAAAATAGTTTAGGAACATAATCAATTAAAAGATAAGGAACCACAGCATACATTAGACAAATTTAGGGATTTAATTGAATCAATTGTTCGATTAGATGGGACATGGACGATGCATTAACACAAAAGCTCGAGGACCAGAGGTTTCATTTAAAGATAAATCTCGAGACCAACTTTACTTGTTTTCATATAAAATGTGGAAAGTAAATTTCATCGTACTCGTTGAATCTATATGTACTAAAATGATTGGATGGTGAATAGTGAAATGATGATGTGGCATGATTGGGAATTTAGTTCGATTAAGTTAGTTAGCATTGTTAGGTAGTAAAAATTCATTTTTTTTGTATCAATTTTCTATAGTTATTCAATATTAAAAAGGCGACTTCTCACTCATTTCTTCGTTTGTGAATTTCGAAAGCAAATCTAAATATTTAACCTTGAAAGTTCATTGTGAAAAAGTCAATTCTCACCACCATAATTCATTTATTTGAAAAGGACTATAATTTGGTATGCAATACCAAATTCTTTTAGATATTATTATTATTATACTACGACAATTGATGAAATGTTCATTTTGCTTGAGTTCTAACATTTGTCTCACTGATAATACCACAAAACCATTTCCTGATTTGTAGTGTTCACAGTTAGTGCATGCACACGTCTTAAAATTTATTCATTGATTTCTCAAGTATTGCTAATGACGTCGAGTCGACAAAGATATGCAAGACCAATTCCTTTTCGAGGTTTTTTTTCCCACATTTTTCGGAATAGTTAATTCATGTGAATTCGTAGTAACAATCACTAATATGATGTATTAGAGATGTTTACGCAATTTAATATTTTTCACATTTATTATTATTGTTTCGAAGGTGATTGAAAATCATGTAAAATGCTAATAGTAACTCTCGAGAGATGGTTGTCTTGACACATTGAAGAAAGCTTAGGGACGTGAATTGTGTTTGTTCTTCTGGAGGGATCCTTCCCGAGAGCTTTATTGCTTGAAATATCGAGAGCTTCCAATTCATTGATAAGGGAGAAAAGCCCGCGACAAAAACCTACTCAAAAGAAGAGGGAGAAAAGAAAAGACTGGTGAAGTCCGAAGTCTTCCTCAATCTAGCATTGCGAGACGAGGGACCCTTATTTTCCGTGAAAATGTCGTATAGACTTATTATTAGTGACACGACTAGAAAAAATCAATCACAATACAATAATTATGCTAAAACTTGTGTTTAACAGTGGGACTCGGTATGAAATTTGCACAATTCATGTAATATGGATGTTCGACGATATTACGTAAATTTTATATACATCAAACCCTTCAGTTTGTTTCTTTTAAATCTTCTCTGATATGATTAAAATAAAAAAAAAGCTCAAAAATCACCTTCACTTTATATCCCGATTTCTCTTTATATCGTCCATTTTTAAATCCGTGGATCTCCGATTTAACATTTATTATTAAATGATTGGGACATGGGAAACGTCTAGGATGGCGACCCATTGTTTAATATGTACATATCGCGGCATGCTTTCGCGACTTGTCATAACGGTTGCTAATCCATTAGGCCAAGAGCACCTACAAAGAGAATCGATTCCAGATCTCCCTCTTAAATTATTATTTACCGTGAAAATTCGGACATTAAGCACACTAGTAAAGGAGATGATAGGATTCGACCAAAAAAAAAAAAAAAAAAAAAGGAGATGATAGGTCAGGTGCAGCTGATGAAATTGGTGACGTTGCGATTAATTATCGCTATTAGATTAACAGCGTTCCCACTCGCGACACCTGGCGCGTGGGTCACACGCTTCTCCACCTCCACACGCGGTGGTCTCCAAGTTAGGCGGGAAGCGGAAGAGCTCGAACCCTAGAATTCAATTTCATCCTCAATTTCCACTGCAATCCTCTTCTCTCTCCGGAAATGGGCATCAAGGTAGTTCCACCTCCCTCTTCTTCAATCCGATCATTTCCACTCCATATGATTGTTAATCGAATCGCCCGTTGATTTCGATAGGGACTGACGAAGCTACTGGCGGACAATGCCCCGAAGTCGATGAAGGAGCAGACGCTGGAGAGCTACTTCGGCCGGAGGATCGCAGTCGATGCCAGCTTGAGCATCTATCAGTTCCTCGTTAAGTGCTTTGCTTTTTATGGATTTGATGCCTGTGATTGATTGCGCGTTTCGGTGTCGGTGGAGATTGGATTTTGAGTGTTGGTGGTTTTTTTTGGGTCTTTGATTGGTGGATCAGGTTGTGGTTGGGAGGAAGGGGACTCAGATGCTCACCAATGAGGCTGGTCAAGTCACCAGGTACTACTACTGGCATGGCAATACTTTGTGGAAATGAAAATCAACTTTGCTCAAGTTTCTGTTTTGATGGTTCAGATGTTATCGCTTGGACTCGGTTTTATGTATGTGATCTTTATGCTTGGAAAGTGTTGACTTTGAGCTGCTTTTTGATTTGTCTTCCCATGTAGTCATCTGCAAGGCATGCTTTACCGGACGATTAGGCTGTTGGAAGCGGGGATACAGCCAGTGTAAAATACTCGTCTTTACCTCCTCTGTTTTCATTGGGATAGAATGCTAAGAAGAATGAAGGTCATCTTTCTCTGAATTATGCTTTGCTGTTGTTACGACAGCTACGTATTTGATGGTAAACCTCCTGATTTGAAGAAGCAAGAGCTTGCAAAACGGTACTTCATTATTATGTAGCCTTCTCTTCTCTCGTTTTTTTAAAGTATCTATGAATACATTTAGTTACCTTAATTGAGTCTCTGAGCAGTTTTTTGAAGAGGGCAGATGCCTCTGAGGAGTTGGCATTAGCCATTGCGGTACGTGCATCTCTCTCTCTCTCTCTCTCTCTCTCTCTCTCTCTCTCTCTCTCTCTCTCACGCACAGAGTACAAAAAGGCTTAGTGAACTCTGTATTTATTGCCTGCAGTCTCAGAACAAGCAAGACATAGAGAAATTCAGTAAAAGAACTGTGAAGGTTTGTCTTTGTTTGGATCACTTCCTTACAGTGCGATCTTTTTGTCCCGTTCGATGTGAAGTTTGATTTTGTCTTTGTTTTCCAGAAAAACCTATGTACGTAGCTAACTGGGTGTGTGTGGACTTGTGGTACATGGCTTTGATACCCTTGCAGGTGACACAACAGCACAATGAAGATTGCAAAAGACTACTAAGACTTATGGGTGTCCCACTAGTTGAGGTTACTATTCTGTCTGAAAAGTTTGTTCTTTTTTTTTATTTCTAACAAAAAGTTTAGATATCAAATTCAGTTTTTGTATGTTAGGCTCCTTCAGAAGCAGAGGCACAATGTGCTGCACTTTGCAAAGCTGGAAAGGCAAGTATCTTCCTGTTTGATCGTCTTCTGATTTAGGATAGTTCATTGTTTCCCATGATAACCAATCGTTTAACTCTATGTAAATTACCATCTTGTTTCCATGATTTAATTTCCTTGTTCACTGAACTTATGCTTGTTCACTTGTCTAATGTCTTCTTCGGCATAGTCACTTGTTTCCTCGAAAGAAGTTTTTACGGGATCCACTGAACTTATGCTTTTTCACTTGTCTAATGTCTTCTTCTGCATAGTCATTTACATTTGGTACGTTCTTTACTAAATCATCTTTGTCCAAGGAATTTCGCTGACTTTGAATTCCTATCATTGCTTAATTGTTGTGCGGTAACCAGAATTCATCTATCACGAATGGTGTTTTAGATGTAATTTTTGTTTTTCAGGTTTATGCAGTTGCTTCTGAAGATATGGATTCCCTTACTTTTGGAGCTCCTAGATTTCTTCGCCATTTTGTGGATCCCAGCTCAAGAAAAGTTCCAGTCATGGAATTTGAAATTTCCAGGGTACTTAGAAAAGTTTATTCATTGCGATTGCTTAAATTTTTTTTTTCTCACTTTCATGACTTTTAGATCTTGGAGGAGATGAATCTGGATATGGATCAATTCATTGACCTTTGCATTCTCTCTGGATGTGACTATTGTGAAAGCATTCGAGGTAGACGTGATATTATTGCAGTGCTCTGTTAACTGTTTTATGCTATCGTATATCATTCTGCCCTCTCATATGTTTTAGATTGATGATTTCAGTGGCTTTTACTTTGGAATGAATTTATCAGGTATTGGAGGGCTGACTGCTCTTAAGCTCATCCGTCAACATGGTTCCATAGAAAACATACTAGAGAACATAAACAAGCAAAGGTGCTTCTTATTCTCTTATCTTGTCCCCCGACTTGTAAGCAAAATAAGGCAGCAAAGTTTCTCACTGTAATTGTCTTGGCTGCTGATTCCTTCACTTAAAAGAATTATCTCTCAAACTCAGCTGGAGCGGAAATATTTGATCAACACTTTGAAACTGAAAGATCATTTGCCACCAATAGATTTGGGCTGGCAATCAGTGCATCAACCATGCTACTTCATGTGTTGATTTACTATAATACTTTTATCTATTATGATGTCTGCTTTGTCTATTCTTTCACTCTCACTTGAACAAAATTCGTTTCTCTATCCTTAAGACCCGAAGGTTCTTTGCATTACTTGGAAGTCTTTATTCAGTTCAGTTATCCTTCTTAAGGAAATGTTTGCTTGTTTTTTGAATAGGTATCAGATACCCGATAATTGGCCCTATGGCGAAGCTCGACTGCTTTTTAAAGAACCAATAGTTTCTACGGAAGAACAACCTGAGATAAAATGGACTGCTCCAAATGACGAAGTGGGCCATTTTCATGTTGGGATTTACTTGCAACATTTCACTTTTGAATTCTTGACTCATTTCCTAATTGATTGTTCTTTCCCTTTCAAGGGCTTAATGTCCTTTCTAGTGAATGAGAATGGGTTCAACATTAACAGAGTGACAAAGGTATGGCTTCTATCTTCAGTAATGTGTTGGTCAGTTGCCTACTCGAGGAAGTTGCTTCTTTTCCTCTGGAGGAGAGAGCATACATGTTTTCAATGTTGTTTTACCATGTGTAGCAGACGATAGAGAAGATTAAGGCAGCTAAGGATGAGTCATCACAAGGCCGGTAACTAAAGCGTGAATAAATGAAAGTGACTTCCAAAATGCACTTTCTTTCATCCGATGATTCCTCATTTATTTTCTACAAATTAGAATCCTTCTTTAAGCCAGCTAAGAATCTATCTATACCTGCTAAGAGGAAGGTATGTCATCTTGATATATTTGAGTACTGAGCACCTAGAATTTACCTTCTTTTAATGTATGTGAAGGTGTAATGTCACACATTGCTCTAGCAAAGAGATGTCTCCAGATGCAACTTTTGATGGATGAATAGTACTCCCTTTAACTCACTTCATAAGCCATTGATTGCCCTAGCGATGCACAAAGTTTTAGATCTTTGTGATCATTTTTAAACTGTTGGTGGTAGTGTTGTAAATCAACGGTAGTGTGTTGCCATGCCCCTGCTGCTTATGCCCGATTAGTCTCATATAACTTTACAGATGTGCTAATGGTGTTGCATCATCCTATTCATGAAATCAATTAGATAAACAAAAGGACCAGCGTGCTTATACGGATCTGTTAAGAATTTCGGCCTGATTAACAACCATAATTGCAATGGATGACAGGAAAGCAAATGCACACTTCAATCCCCCAATCTGGCGTTCAAGCCTCAGACATGCTCTACACAAGTCTCTGTAAATCTCCAGCACAGGTTCCTTGGCAACTTTAAAATGCGAACCATGGTCCTGGGTTTGAGGAACTTCAAACAGCCGTTGAGAGTTGTCTGCCTCCCGACATGGAGCTAAATGATGGTGGATGTAAGAACCCTATTTATTGAGCAAGTCTTGACTTGTAGATGCTGTTTTTGCCCATTGTTGGAAGCAAGTTGATGCTTTCCTTTCCTAAAAAACGGGTCATGTCTTATGGTACTGCAATTTTGGAAGAGATTTGTATAAATTTTTATTAGATGGATGAAGTTTGCTCTCTATGCTAGAACGAGATTGGTACTTCTTGTCGGGCAAATTGCATTTTAGTGTTCATTTTACGATACGTATATGTCACTTATACAATGTGTATATTATTGTCATCCATGCAACAGGAAACCCCTGAATATATTGCCAAAGCAGCAACTAACAAGAGTTCCAGGCCGGTGGTGGTAAGAAATAGTTTAGTTGGCACATAACAGATCATGGAACAGCAAAACCATCGACATCTATGTCAGGTACTTGTGAGTTTCCCAATGGCGATTCTTCACAATTCTTGATTTCGATTTCTCTCTTAAATCTCCCCGCTTGGAATTGTGATATATGCGTCGTTATGTTTCTTGCCTTATCCAGGAGGTTTGCATGCAAATTACGAGTGGAAACTTGATGTCAGTTTGTAGTCTCATGCAGTCTTTGCTGGATACCATCATATCATGGAAGGTTTATGGGTGCTGAATGCTGATTTAACTTTCATTCATGACTACTTGTTTATCTTGTTGGACTACTATCGTGTGTTTCATGTGTAAGTTTCTCAGTGCGCATACATTTGATGGGTTGACTGATAACTCGGAAGATGGAGATACGAAACTACACCAGCTTGATATCGATCAGTTAGTAGATGACTTCGATTTGTTGCCACTTATGTTACTAACAAATCATATCAAAACTCCAATTACAAATTTAACTTGTTTATTGTCTCTTACATCGAGTCATATCCAAATTAACAAATTACATAACATAATTTAGGAGGATTATTTCGAAACACCATAAGAACATTATCATGCTAGGAACTGAAAATTGGATGCTAGAAAGAGCCAGCAATCATAAAATAAATTTGCATGCAGAAGCAGAGGAGTTACCAAGAAACTGGAATTAGCTAATGCATGCAAAATTTAAATGGACATTTAGTATACTATAGCTTATAATGTATATAAGTAAATTGTAATATGGTCTTTAATCAGATCATATATTTTATTTATTTGTGTAGTATAAATCCTATCATCTGTTGGGTCATTTACCTATGTGTATAGTACATTAAGGTAAATGAAAATTCAACCATTGATTTGGTCCACCTATATTTGTTGATAGAGTATATGCCACAGTGAAAATGGTTAACTCACACGGTAGGTGTAAGAGCCCAGTTACATTGTGCATATTTTGCAAATGATCAAGTCCTAACTGCTTTATCTTTAGGTCACATGTAAATCAAATTCTATATGGAGTTCATTTGCCGTCTCAGTTTCTGCCTGAATTGATCTCTCATCACATTGTATGTCATAATCTTACATTTTTAAGCAGAAGCTAAAGGTAACTGCCAAGAGGAGTAGTGGCCGATCCTCAAACAGCCTAACCAATCTTTGCCTCAACATTCTTCGATACAAACCCTGAACCCATGGGGTCCAACTACTAGAAGCCATTCTTGTTGCCATTTTCTTTGCTAAAGCTGCATCATCCACCAAGTAAGGTACTATATATTTTTGCATGTCAGCGAGAGAGATCTGGAGATGGTTCCTAGAGACATTGATGAATTGACTTTCCCAGCTTCATCCAAGGTCTTCAATCCAATCCAATCCTTGGTGTAAAGCTCGGTCTGCAGGAAATGCATCGATTAGATACATTTCTATTTTATTTTTCAATCCAATCCAGTCCTAATGGTAAAAGGATGCAAATTGTAGCAGAGTAAGGGTAAAAGCATGTTATGACGAGCTTACACCATAGCGACAACACAATATCACAATATGTTCGTTCGCCCATTCTCTTTTGTCCATTTTTCTCATGTAAATGCAATTTTCCTTCGATTATCGACTTGTCAATAGTTAATGCTCAATGATGAAATGAAAATCATAAATCACTACCAAAAGTAATTCCAGACCATGTCATGGATATACACCTCCTACACCCTAAGATTGTAGAGTAAGAGCTCGGTAAAGATAATGCTTTCACAATCCTCAGTATTACTTTCAACATGGTTAATCATTCATATCTAGGGCTTAGAAAATGTTTCAGCTTGTTCTTTGTTACATTTCTTGGTTGACTGCGCAAAGTGGAATAAAACAAGTTGATTCCAAGTCAATATCAATGTTACTAGAGATTTTATATATTCTACACCCTTGATTTTTCACATATTTATGTGCGTGCAAGTCCTCAAGCAAATTCTTAATTATGGAATCGGTTTGACGACAGGAAATAATCTCAAAAGAATGGAATCTTTCAAAATGCATGCTTTCTGAATCACAAGGAGATTCCACCCTCATCCACCATAAATACTTTACCGCTGCTTTTCAGCGACCATTAGTATCACCCAAAATTACCATGAATCAATGGCACCGATAAAAACACGATAACTGCATTTCAAGTTAATGCAGTAATTACCTCCTGGGTAGGCAAAACAGTATCAAAAGTTTCATCTAGATAGTATACGAACTAGGATGTTTCCTTTGGTATCAACACAGTGTCTTGCTCAAACTAGAGGGAAATAAAAAGAGTTAGCATCACAAAGCTGCAAAAGACAAGGATCCAAAATCAATAACATATACAAAACTAACCATAATAAGGACTAGGTTCTGCAAGTTAGCAAATCTTTCCTTGTAGGTTGAGTTTCTGTAATCCACGAGATCAATATTTACTTTTGGGAGAAACCTGCAGCCTTTTAGACAATTAGCAAGGTCCTGCAGAAACGAAAGGCAATTCACGCATTGCTTAATTGAAATAACATTTACTTTGTGACACAATAGCGAGTGAAATGAGATTTTGCATTGAGAAATAACATCAAACATATGAAACTAAAAACAGGGAATCAAAGAGTATTGTCGCCCACGCCTATTTTGGAATGGTTATAAAATTTTTTGGCAGGATAATATAGTAAGATGTACAAAATTACGACCATCGAGAAGATATAAATAAAAAGTCATCCTGTTTAAATATTTTCTCTATTAACACAGAATCATAGTCATGGTTGTATCTTCACATAACCAGCGGGTGCCAAGTGCTCCTGTGATTGTATGAAGGTTTCCGAACAAAACAAGAAGATGCAGTTAGTGAAGTATAAAAGAAGAGAGAAAATTAAGTTGGCGCAATATTTCCACAGTGGACATGTAAAGAAGCTACTTGTTGAAGGTGCAGAAAAAGTAGCCTGGATAAGACTTTGAGCAACACTATCTTCGGGTATCGTTATAGTAAAAGGGTAATGTGAATCTGGAAATGACTAGTAAGACCAAGCCAAACTTGGACATAGTCAGATTACACCCCTATTAGCTCAATCAAATAGTTCACAAGAACTCAGAAGATACCGGACTGTAAAAGAAGGAAAAAAAAAATCAAACTACAGTGATATAAGCAAACTTCAGCCCCCATGAGACCTCAACCAAGAGAACACTAGAGAATGGCGTATCCTAATGCCAAATCAATCTAAAACCACACCAGAAACGCCTGTCATGTACAAAAATATTTGCAAATAAATGTAGGAAAGACTTGAAAAAATGATTTTTTTTTTGCCCTTGTCATGTACAATTCTACCGGAGAGAACTGCTCTCAAATAGCCAAACAGATTCTCAAAGGCTTCTGTTCATGAGTCACTATAACCAATTTCGGCGGGCCTCATCAAGTAAATGTTCAAATGAAGTCAATCCTCAGCAGCTCTTTATTAACAGAAAAGAAGAAACATGAGAAACAATCCAAATGAGTCTTATTTTGAAAGCATAACATTATCTATGTAAACATAACCATAGCCTTTGCTTTGCCTATAGTAATATTACATATTCAAATGATCGCTAAAGTTCCACAATCTCTGCAAAACGTGTCCCGTCAAAGTAAATTTGAATTCTGAGGAGAACGTCCATGCAATGCCTTTCTCACTTGGCACTTTTGATAACTCCTACTCCCCTGGAACAAAAAAAAAGAAATATTGTTAGCACCTGGCATTATCACATGCAAAGTCACAAAAACAACAAAAAGAATCTTCAATTGACACCTCTATGGTAACCAATCAGGGATAAGTTGATCTCGTGTGATGACGATAATGATGATCGTAGATAAAACAGTCGTCTAATTAATTCCCCTCAAAAAGAACAAAACTCGGAGAAGTTATTTGATAAGGATGCATCTTATACGTGATCCTTCTGCACCAAGTAATCTCAAAGGCAGACATGGACTGTATACACTCCTATGGGTACATCTTCGAGTTTCAAGCCCTCAACAAGAATAATTTCTTGCAGCTTTACCGTAGTGTCAATTTCTTGAACCTAGACTTCATATGAGAATGCAACGATGTGAAATCCGGGCAAAATCACCAACACTAGTTTAGGTCTAAGATGGCAATTCAGCGATGAAACATGGTCATCCTTAACTTTGATGGGGAAGTTTGTCATACGTCAAATCAATTTCTTACCTAGCTTTCGAGGAAGATAAGATGGGATGGGATCAAATGATCATATGAGGTAACAAACAGGTAATCAATACATGCATCGAATAGCACAGACTATGTCATGCAAGATTGCATCTCAATCTCAGACATGTAATAATCTACAAGTTGCAGAAGAAGAAAGAAAATAGATGATCAAGTTGCACTATTTCTCAAGAGGGAGGTTTAGTGAAAATTGAACCTGTGTAGTGCTCAAAAAGCCTGATAGCAACATATGCTTGAGCGTTTTCTTACACAACCATGTCTTTAGAGATCAACCGAATGTCATGTGTTCATGTTGACAGTTATTACAGCACCATACTACGACTCATGTGTCGGCAAGGAGAAAATCAAATAAGATGAAAGTATGCATTTGTTGCCATGCCTAGGAAAAATAACATTTGCTTGTAGTGAAGCTGCAAGTAAAAATTGGTGGTAATAGAAAAGGTAGCTACCTAACAGAGAAATATATCCTAACATGGTTTCTGGGTAACGGTTAGGAAACATCATGAAGTACACTATAAATCAGTGAGTCTTGGTAAAAGGTGAAGATAAGATGAAAATGAAGCAAACCACCAAACACACACAAACAAAAAAGAAAAAAAGAAAAGAGAAAAAGAGCTTTCTCACTAAGATTGCATCAGAATAATAAAAAGGGATGAATCCTACCAAGTTTAATTTCTACGTTCTCTACCAACCATTTTGCTCCATCTCTCACGAATTCCACATGGCTCGTGTCGAACTTTTTTTGTACATAAGCCATCTGAGAACAAAACATAGCACAAATCTAATTTGTCTTTCTAATCATAGTACTCACTAGTACCACAGTATACTAAAATACTCAGATGAGTGCTCCAATAGCACATGCATGGGTGACATGATTTCCAACAATTTGGAAATCCCACATTAGTTCAGCTTACCATGACCCACAAAAGGATGCTTAGGAACCGAAGTTTACCTGGCAGTATGTAGGATTCTGAACAACACCCGTCCCACACCCTTGGGAATATGTAAAGACTCCATTACTTCAGCTGCAGGAAATAGTCCATGTCATTCTTACAGAATTAGTTGGACATGTCAATATGTTTCAATCTCAAAGTTGTCGGATCAAATATTAGTAAGTGCCCAACTATATTCTTGAAAATAAAAAGGAAAAATCCAAGGGCTTGTTCTCACACCAAGATAAGTATTCTACTTGGTCCATTGCAAAATTGACCATATTAGAATCTAGCTAGAAGAACTAGTGTATTGCCAGCAATGGTCACTACTGGGACAACTAAATTGTGCAAGAATTTTACTTCTGAAAGGAATAAATACTCCCAATATTCTCAAATAGTTCATATTTCACCTGAAAACAAAATATAGTATATCCATAGACAATAAAACAATAAAAGTTGGCAAATATGACATGCCAAGCCCTAACACACAAATGACTAACTAAAATGGACATGGAAAATGCAGCCACCATTTTTGAAGCACCCAAGTTTCCAGCAAATTGGTCAAGCAATCAAACCTACTAATGATGATGATGACGATGACAACAACAATAATTTGGCAGTCAGCATGTAATTTTGAAAGCAAAGTCAGAACCTAGCATTATTATTGCAAATGAGTGAATTAGAGAAATCACACCACTGTTCTTACACAAAGGTCATCTTATCTACTCTATCTTCTGACATTTTTTTTTTGTATTTTGCTTTTGAACCTTATGCATAATTCTACATGCATAAGAAAAGAGGAATAGATTCAACGGATCGTACATGCCCAAAGTGAGGATATTGTCGTTCCACACCGCCAGGATTCAACTCCCTATGCCCTTCAACGAGCGTGAACACAAACTTCTCTTGAAATGTCGGGTTTTTACCACCGTCTGCACACCAAATCAAATCAAATCAAATCAAAACTAAGATGTCCATTCGCACAGTTTTCCCATTTAGCTCAACACCAGAAACTTCACCCATCAAACCACTGTAACGAAACTTCATATCCAGATTCGAACAGGGAAAGAGGCAATTGCGCAAGCATTTGGTGTGCAATTTTAGAATTACCAGTTGCAAGTTATGGTGCGAAATTGGTGTTGCCATATTCCAACCAGCACCCGCCAAGGGGCTCCTAGAGGCGATGATGGCGGAGGCAGAAGCAGGGGTGGAGGACGCGGTGACCCGCCGGAGAATGCAGCGGATCTAGGAATCGGAGCCGCCAATGGGAATTTTGTGTATGACGGCAGACGCGGCGGCAGCGTTTGAGGTATCACCCCTGAAACTCTCCATCACCATAGATTCTCCGCTCCTTTAAAGGCCCCAAGTGGTTTAGACCTTGCACTCTTTTTAGATTACGACAATAGTTTACCACGAGCTCACGTAGCTCTTTCAATTTCGATAGGTCTGACATCCTCTCCAGGGAAGGGCAATATTCGACTGATAGGGAGCCAAGGGATCCCAATTCTTCAAGGCCACGAATCTCGACTAATGAACGGCACCGTTTCAGACTTACCTCGCATAGATTCTTCATGCGCAACAGATCAAGTACTTCTGGAAGGAACTCACAACCATCCATCTTTAATAATCTCAATCTTTTCATTTCCGGCTGCGACGGTGAGTCCTCTTTTCTAAGCTTACAGAGCCCCACATGGAGTTCCTCCGACTCCGCATCAAATATACTAGAGAATTCTAGCGAGCATTTATAGAATGCCAAGATTGACAAGTTTTTCAAATTGGAAAAATCCGGTGATCGTGTGATCTCCAGATCTCGAAGTCGTAACTCTCTTAAACTAGACGGGAGCCGGGGGAGGAATTGCACGTATTTACAGGACAATGATAGTGTTTTAAGCTGAGATAGGGTACTAATGCTAGTGGGAAGAGCGGTGACAAGTGTTCCCTGTTGAGATAGGGCATCCATTCTAGGGGGACCGAGGAAGGCTATCCAGGGGGAGCACCAGAAATAAAAAGGGATCCATATCAGCCAAGTCAAACTTGGGGGAAGCTCCGGCAATTGTTTCAGCCCGGGACAATTTTCTAGCTTAAGTATTTGGAGATTAGAGAGGTGATTCACCGTGGTGGGTAATCCGGATATACGTGTGTTTGACAAGTCTAGGATCCTCAAACGGGACAATCTCCCAATTTCTTCGGGGATTTCACCGGTCAAATCGCAACATCCTTGAGCATCCAACTCTTCGAGCTTCTCCACCAGCCCAATCGCACTTGGCAATTTTGTTAACCCTCTTATGCCTCTCATGCTGAGTACCTTCAGTTGCTTTAGATTGCCGATTGAATTGGGTAGGTGACAAATTCTCATCCATGACAAATCCAACTCGACTAATGATTGTAATTTCCCAACCGAATCTGGAAGTTCCTTTATGTATGTACACCCAGATAAATTCAACTGCCTAATTTTCACCAGCCCTCCAATCGAGTATGGCAATTTGTTGATTTGCCTATTTGGTACATCGAAGGTCAACAATGACTGCAAATTACCAAACGTCTCCGGAAGTTTATGTAGCGTATTAGGCATGACAATCTCTGTCAAAGCTTGTAGACAACCTATTTCTTCGGGCAACTCTCGAAGAAAGTTACATCCATCCAAGTTCAAAACAGTAAGGCGCTTTAATTTACCAATGGATGGGTCAATTTCAATTAAGTTGCCACAACCTTTAAGAACCAATCTCTCTAAATACACCCACGTAGATAAATCAGGTGTTCTCTGTAAGTATTTACAATAGCTGAGATCTAGTACTTTTAGTTTTCTGGCCTCCTGCAAAACAATTTGATAAGATATATATATTAACAAATGACATGTAGGAAAAAAAGAAGACAAAAGAAACGATATGTTTATGCAAGGAGCATGACTCGTATCATACTCTGATTTGGTCCCAGCCAATCCATTCCTCCGAAATATGGCCCCATGAAAGCTCAAGAACCACTAAATTAGTCGGATGAAAGTTTGTTGCCTCAAACTTGGAAGGGCAATATCGCCAATAAAGCCATCTTAAACTGGTGAGAAGATTATTGAAGTCTCCAACAAGGGAAACCTCATACCCTCGAAAGAACCTTAAGTTTGGTAAATTAGCAAATTCATCGTTCTTCAGAGTTTCATGAAGATAAAATTGATATAATCCACGTTTTGCAACTGACAGTGCTTCTATTTTCCTACTTCCCTGACAATGGAAACACAAAAAAAGTCCACATGTGAAGGTCAAAAGCAAACAATTTTAAGCGTTACTAGCGATAATTTTTTCCTTTTGCAAGAATAGTCTAGAATTATTCGTACGAAAATAAATTGTCATTCCCCTTTTTACCTCTTTCGACTTTACAATGCCCAACGCTTCCTCACATTTCCACACTCTGCTACGCTCGCTAAGATGTTTGAAATTCTCTTGACGGACAATTTCTCTTCCGAGGTCCCGCACTTGGTCATGCATCCAGAAAGTGCTATCTTCTTTGATTTTTATCAAGGACATGAGAACAAGGACATCAATGGCAACGTGTGGGTGGTATTTATAGTCATTCCACATATAGAAAGGGTATGTTATATCCTCATTAACAAAAAAACAAGCTATATCCAGAAATATTTCCCTTTCTGCAGGATCTAACCTTTCATAAGTTATCATCAATTTCTTTTGGACATCCTTGGGAGGAGCTTCTTGTAGCTTTTCCCATGTGTTGATCCAAAGTTCTTCGGATTTACCGACAAGAAATGAACCTGTAATCTCAAGAGCTAAAGGAAGCTTTCCCAAAGTATGGACAATTTTTTCGGAAAGGGAGACAAGATGATCTGGTGGAGAGTCTCTATTGAAGGCATGCCTACTGAAAAGCTTAAGAGCATGATCAAATTCCAGTTCACATGCTTCGTAAGTCGAAACATTTGGGCCTTCGGTTAGGACACTTTTGTCCCTTGTAGTTATGAGAATCCTGCTACAAGAACCGAACCAATTACCTTTTTCTGCAAGACTTTTCAGTTGATCTTTCTCATCCACGTCATCAAGAACAATGAGTACTTTTTTATTTCTAAGTAATCCTTTCTCTATAATTTTGATCCCATCATTCACGTGATAAATTTCATCGATAGAGCGAGAACCAGCAAGCTTGGATAACAATTGTTTTTGCAAATTTACCGGACCATCATTGCCTTTTGATGATTCTCGAACGTTTGCAAGGAAACAACATCGTTCAAAGCTAGAAGATAGTGTGTTGAAGACGACCTGAGCAAGGGTTGTTTTGCCAACACCGCCCATTCCGTGGATTCCGAGAAATCGTACACTATTAGATCCCACATCCAACATTTTGATTATAGCTTCTACACGATCATCAACTCCGACAAGATGTTCAGTCACTTTTTCATGTGCAACCTTCAGCTTAATCGAAACCGTTCGAATTACGGAACGTATCAGATCTCCTTGGCTGCCATAAGGTAACAACCATGTTAGGGATAACTTTTATATTGTAAAATTACTCCCAAAGTGACTAAATTGCCCTCACATGTTAAGGAAATTACACACAAAAAATCTAGACGCCAATACGATTCTGATTTTTGCCAATCTCTCTATGCTCCCCAACTTCAGTCACCATCACTGTCGGCCCCTGCCACTTCCATGCCGCCGTTGGCATCGCTCGTCTCCTGCACCAGAATGCCTCCTGCGCCGTCACCAATGCGTTTCGGTGCCGTTGCCCTCTGCACTCCGTTGACCCCCCATCTCAGCCTTGCCTCAATTCTCCACGTCACGTGGGTCATGGCCTTGCGACCGCCGGAATGGTGTCATCGGCCTTGGGTGACACCAGATTTGGGGTCACCCATGGTTAGCTATGCCGGATATGGGCTCGGTGGCATCAAACTCTACGTCCAGATCCTGGATCCGGTTCGCCACAGTGAGTGAGACAGAGAAGTGTGGGGGCCAGATGACTCGGAGGCTTTTGGTGGCTTGGTGTTGGGTTGGCGACGAAGAAGTGGTGGCAACTGACGGACAAGCTGCTGCGGTGGCTAGCCGACAGCTTGGTGGAGCTGCTCGGAGATCTATTATTGTCCGTAGCTACCGTGTCAGAGACGGAGAGCGAGAGGAGAGAGAGAATCAGGATGAGAAGGGTGCGCTACCACCGCAATAGTGCCATTGACTGGAGCTATTGCGGCGATACTGCCGATAGCAGCCACTATTGGCCACTGCCAGTGAGAATTAGTGGCCGATAGCACTAGCGGCAATGGCCGCCAACCACTATTTAAACTCTATGGAATTGACTAGATGAATAAACTATATTTTCAATAGGAAAACATAATCTACATATGACAGTTGAAAAGTTCAAGATATTTACCCTTCATTTTTCTTCCAGTTCCATCCCTTTATCTTGCCCACTTCCATGAGAGCCTTTTCCCATGACTCTGCTTCCGTGCACGACGTCTTCTGGCGCTTTGAAAGAGTTTGTCTGTACAAATTTGTTTTGAGCTTGACATCAGCAGGTTCCACGTTCAAGAAAATCGGCAGAATCTCTTTGTTCCCATTCGATTTCGAGGTGCACTCGACCATGTATGCGAGCTCTCGAAGACACCAGTCACTCGAAGCATAATTCTCGGAGAATATGGGAACGTAGATCTTGGAGTTCTCAATTGCTTGTAGAAGTTCACCACCAATTTCCTTACCAACATGGAGGGATTCATTGTCCCTAAAGACGATGATCCCAGCATCAACCATGCCATGGTAAAGACAATCGGTGAATCCATAACGGGTATCTGCTCCTCGAAAACTTAGAAAAACCTCATACGAAGGTCCGGATGATGCCCGTGAATTCGTCCCTTTCTTCATTGTAAGATCTCTAAACACCACAGGTATCAAATCCTTTCTTATCTCTCACGGAAGTTTGCTTTGGGTGTGCTTGGATCTGAGCGAGGGCTGTCAATATGATAAGCTCTCTCAGTCTGCGACATGGGGTAGGGAAAAAATGCACTGGACTTCGAATATCTTGAGTCAATATAGTCAACACCTTGAGTCATCCGAGAAGTTTCCTAAAAGTTTCCATTGATCAATCAATGAGTTGTCATGGTAAAAGTTTCCAGTCCCATTCATTTAATAACAATTTTAAAATTAAAATTATCATATATGTGTCAAATTCTTACATCACTTTATGAAGTGCTGGTGTTACCAATAAAAGCAGTTAAATAATATAAGTGGCCAAAAACAATCATTCACACTATTACTTAGTTATAAAAAAAATGTGACAAACTTTGAATGCCTGACTATGCCCTACCTTTTCAAATGATACTTTATAGTATATAGATCTAAATCCCAAACAAATATGGAAAGATATATGCTATCACAAATTTAAACATAATCATATAAAAGACGCCGACAATGTTCTAAATATATGGAGATTCCACAAATCAAGAAACGTATCAACCAAGATTACACAAAATCAACTCAAATATATCTAGTATCCCATTCAAAATGAAACCAACTTGAGTTTAGAAATTAAGCTATGAAATAGCTTAGATAATCAGATTTAGCAATGGAGTAGATGTAGAGTGCCATGAACAATATGTTTTTGATTCGCAAAATGGATTAATTTGCAAAATTCTCAGTACGAACTATTTTATTAATTATGATCTAACCGTGAGCAGCTTAATATATTTTATTCCAAATTTTAAAATTGCAACTCTCTTATCTTAAATTTTAAATTAAAATTTCAAAAGAATATAATGAGAGGAGGCGATGAATTATCAAATTTAAATTAATCTTGATTGGTTAATCGTATGGAAAGCACACAAGTCCCAAGTCAAAGTCTTCTACTATCTTGCTTGCTTTGTTGCATTTTCCTATTCTTTTCTTCCAACCAAAGAAGGAGATAAAGGCAAAAGCCTACAAAACGTACTCAATAGAAAGAAAGAAAGAAAGAAAGAGACTTTCGCGTGGTAAAGCAAGTCAAAAGTCTTCCACCATCTCACCTGCTTAGTTGCAAAGAAAGTGACAAGGCAAAAGCTTAGTTGAATCGGAGTCGTCCATCTTGCATTGAGAGCCGAGGAAGGACCCTTACTGAAAAGTCTTCCTCAGACGCGGTTTACAAAATTGTTCGAGAAATTCTTGTCCACTAGTCACATTCAAAGGACATGCCGAAAAGTAGACCACGGTTTGCGAGTCATCCCAGAAGTTTCCCAGAAATTTCATTGATCAATCAATGTGTTGTCGTCCTAGGAGTTTCCATGTCCCATTCATCTAATAAAATATTTTAAATCAGAGATTCATAGTCATAAAAATTGAGAATATAAAGTGAAATCAGGATACAAAGTGAAAGTAATATTATGCGTCGATCACATGACGGATATGGTGTAATCGGTCAATCCATGTTGCCCATGCAATGTCTAGGTCATTCTAATGGGCACTGAAATGTTAAAAATATATGCTTTGCATTGGTTTATTACACCATGTGATACAATTGTCACACGAAATATCTTTTATTTTACCACATCATTTCTCTCTCTCTCTCTCTCCCCCCACCATACTGCCAATCAACATCGCCATCCTTGTCCCCAATCAGCTATCACATGAAATATGGAAAGATATATGATACCACACCTTAAACATAAAGATAGCTACATAAAAGACGCTGACAATATTTCGAATATTTGTGAGATTCGACAAATCGTGGATCATATCAATAAAGATTACACAAAATCGAATCAAATATATCTAGCATCCTACTCAAAATAAGATCATTGCATTGAAAACAGCTTGCCTTAGATAATCAATTTTTGTAATGGAGTGAATGTAGATGGCCACAAACAGTATGTTTTTGAATTACAAAATGGATTGATTTGCAAAGTTCCCAATAATAATTATTTTATTAATTATGATCTAATCGCTTGATATATTTTATTCCAAATCTTAAAATTGCAACTCACTTATCTCAAATTTTAAATTAAAATTTTAAAGGAAGGTAATGAGAGGAGGCGGCGAATTATCAAGTTTAAATTAATCCTGATTGGTTAATTGTCTGGACAGCACACAAGTCCCAAGTCAAAGTGTTCTACTTTCTTGCTTGCTTCGTTGCATTTTCCTATTCTTTTCTTCCGACCAAAGAAGGGGAAAAGGCAAAAGCCTACAAAACCTACTCGATCGAAAGAAAGAAAGAAAGAGACTCTGGCGTGGGTAAGCAAGTCAAAAGTTTTCCACCATCTCACTTGCTTAATTGCAAAGAAAGTGATATGGCAAAAGCTGACATAGCCTACTCAAAAGAAAAGGGAACATGCAAGGAACACACCGGCGATTGAAAGCAAGTCAAAGACTTTGACTGTCAAAGTCTTCCATCATCTTGTTTGCTTAGCTATATTGCGAGACGAGAGACCATTATTTATCTTGAAAACATTATATAAAATTAATTTATTAGTGATGTGACAGAGAAAATTAATCACAATATAGTAATTGTACTAAAACTTGTGTTTTACGTGGGACTCGGTATGTCCGACAATGCTGCGTTAAGTCGGTATACGTCAAGCTCTTCAATTTGTCTATTGACTCTAAATAGCTCATATGGATCTGATTGCATATGTGGTAATGCTATTGTTTTATAATTATATTTTTTCTATAAATCAAACACAGTGAGCTAGCCAATACAAGCCACTGTCCATAAATGTGAACCCGCAAGTATATTATGCATGTAATCCTAACATTAGTCTCATCAAGGGTTGGAGGAGAGTTGAAATTGATACGTGGAAGCCATTTGTTACTTGGAATATACATCAACATAGCCAAGATCCATTTTCTTCTCCCCTGCTTCCTCTGAGGATCAAACTTGTAATTATAAGATGGAAACCACACAAATCAAAGGCACCTTGGTGCTCTCCAAGTGTATATTCTAGAGCAATATTAAGATAAATGGAATATCTATGGTACATTGGCTCTTTGATTCTTCCTTCTTTCATCCATCGACTGAGATGAGACATCAATGGCCCAAAATGGAACAAATTCATTCCCACCTATCTTCTTAGTACCACGAAAACTTAAGCTTCTGAAACGGGGCTAAAAATCATGGGCTCTGCTGCGCAATAAACAAAAGCAAACCATCAAGCACATGAAGAGAGAAAAAGGACATCACAAGTGTCATAACTTTCGCATAGCGCTCAATTAAGTGCCATAACTTTTTTTTGATCACTTGAGTACCATAACTTTCGTACGGCGCTCACTTAAATCTCATGTAACTTTTTAATCGATCACTTAAGTGCCGTAATATTTAAAAAACTTTCAACACAAGTGCCATGCCACATCGGATTTTCGACACTGGGTGAACGTTCTTTAAAAGTTATGGCACTTAAGTAATCGATTAAAAGTTATGGCACTCAAGTGCACATTTTTTAGAAATCATAGCACTCAAGTTATCAAAAAGAAAAAGTTATGACACTAAAGTAAATGCCCTACGAAAGTTATAGCACTTGTGGCATCCTTATCCCTATGAAGAGCATAAAGAGGATTGTTTATTCTCACCGGCCAAAAGATTACAAGGTCAACAGCAAATGCACGAAAAAATTCCATAAGAAAACATACAGTACCATTAATTAATTACAAGCATATAACATCCTAAAAACAATATGAGTGCCATTAACACTAAAGGGTGAAAGATTGTTTTCAGTACAAAGTGTAGTCATATGTCATCATTATAACATTTTACATAAAAATAAAGATTTCACCTGGCAAAATTTGCCACATATATTACGTAGAGCGTGGCATCATCAAATTGGAGAATTTCAAGCTAACGAAGAAATTCAAAGGATAACACTACCTTCATCCATTAATCATTCATGAGAGACTGTTAGATATCATGAGAAATAGCGATAACTGATCTTATGAGGCAGTAGTAACATTTCAGCATTCATTGTTCACATGAAGAACACTAAGAATTATAATGAAACGAGATAAAGAAGTGTATCATGATATACTCTTCAACCAGTCATCATATATGTCAAACAGAACCATTGAAGGCTATGTTGCCTTCAAGATCATATCAAACACACTTTGAACAGTATCTTCAAGCACACTTTGAACGGTAGTTGCAGCTCATTTCCTTTAAGAACAATATCGGGGAAACCAAACAAGTGAACATCCAAAGGATCAAGCATCCCTTGCAACAATACATCTAGCGACCCTGTCGCCCGATTTGGACAAATTAGGTGTCATTGGAAAGCTCTTACAATGCACAACCCAATTGTACCTTTTGATCATAATCTTAACAAGGTTAACTTTCGATCAAAATCTAGTCGAACCTTGGTAAAAAATAAAGTGTTTACAGGGTCAACAGTCTTCAACGAAGTAATATATTCGATTCGCGTGGAATATGTGTTTGGATTGAGGGAAGTGAAGGGAAATGGGTAGAAATAATAACCTAGGTATTTTTTCCCTTATTTGGCCATCTAAATTGGAGAGGAAGTGGATGGAAATGATTTTAAACAGAGGAGACATACTACCCTTAAGCAGGCGTATTTTTATTTTTTTCCAAAAGTAAAGAAAATAGAAAGAAATGTAAATGCCTCCACCGCCCCCGCACCCCTCCCCCCCCCCCTCATTTTTTTTTTTTGCAAGATTGCCCTTTGTTTCTTTTTAAGTGTTAATTAAACAAGAGATAACCAACTTCATTCACGAAACTTCCCTACATATCATTAACACTCAACATGCATCTAAACACATGAGCGATCTTTTTGGTGCTAATTGGCATACTTTAATATATATCATGAATTTCTTTGTAGATTTTCCATCTTTATCGATCCGGTGGTTCAATGTGTGGTTCAACAGGGTGACTCACAAACCGTAACCTGAACCAGTTTTTTGACAGGTCCGCATTTGGAAAAATTGCTTGACATGATTACAAAACCCGATTATGATACATGAGCATAAATTTCCAGCTCTAATAGCC